AAAAAGTATCAACAAATATTTTTTAAGGGAAATGGGTAATAAATAAGGAAGACCTTGGGACTTTGCGCTTCGGGTTTTAGGTCAACTGACAGCGGCGCAGTTGCTTAACATGTGCCGTCACGACACCGCTCGATACGCAGCTGACAACAGAAAGGAAACTACTAGAAATGCAAACACAAAAGGAAAACCTTGTGTTTTGTCATTATCACGAAAACACCTCCAAACATCTGACACTTACTCGTTGGAATTTTAAAATAAAACGAAACATAAAAGTGTGACTACTTTACTTTGGATTGTGTCTATAGGAGGGACGCAAATATGAATATCTCGCCAAGAGTAAACATTGGAAGCTTGTAGCAAGAGCAACAAAGCATGTAGTTACAGCTATAAATCTATTACATAAGCATAAGTCATTACTCGATACGATGTTGTTAAGTGAGCAAAGGCCTCAATTGGCAATGTGGGCCTAGTGGCATTGGCACATACAATCATTAGGAGTTAGGATGACTTCACGTGGTCGTCACCACTAAACATAGAAATTATTTAAGTGTATAGACTCGCTTGGATTTTGTTGGAATGGAAGCCATTGATATTGTTTTGCTGATGTCAGTTATTTAAGCTATAATAATATTTTGAAGTCTGATTTTTTAAAGATAATTACAGATTACACCTTTTTTAACACATTTTGATAAATGAATCGTTTCCGTAAATCTATTTAATGTGAGCAGAATGAATTTCATAGACATGTTACGCAATAAGTTCCCCTATCTAGAATCTTACAAATTATTCTTCACTCAAAGTCAATTAGAAGCAACTCTCTAATTGCGACAAACAGCGACAAGTTGGACTCTATTATACATGTGAAGACAATGGATCTGTGACATGACATCGTTCATACTAACTTGATTCGTTTTACATTCTTTGTACATAAAATAATTTATAGAGATAAATTTGCATTAACTCTCTTTTAGCGTAATTGCCAGCAATGCGTTAGTGATCTTGAATATTTGATATCAATTAACTAATAATGTCATTATTTCAGGTGTCAGGTACAAACCGCATTACCGCACAGATTACGATCTCGCGGGTATTAAATCGGGTCAAGTTTATCGACCTACATCTAGAATTAGACTTCGAGTCCTACCAATATATATTTGTAACACCAACACATAAAAGACTTCTTAAAAACTATATTATATTCCAAAGATTGTATAACTGAGTGGAACAGAATAGGCATGTCTATTACGATAGTATATTGCGGCTGTAATAGTTTGTAATGACAGGTATGTACTGTAAGCCGGAGTTGCCGAGTGACGCTGGACCTCATACAGAACCAACTTAAGTACTGTGTGGTATTACTTCGTGCAAGCATTATTTTTACGTAACCCAATAGCGCAATACTGCTCTGGTCTCAGCTACTTTATTAAGATGATTGTTTCTAAGATACTATTGTTGCATGAATAATATTTATTTGAAATGCTTACATTTTCATTACACGCATTAAAAATCGCTTAGTGGAAAGTACTTCGCCGACTCTTGAAGCGTTGCAAAGATTATTTTACATTTAAAAATTATTAAGCCAGGACGACGGTTCATAGAGTTAGATAAAGCATTTCTTTTTTGTATGATTTAAACAAAAACACCAGCTAACATTCTCTTGCAAGCCTTATCCTTGTCTCATTTCGCAATGGTCTAATCGGTCGATCACTCCTTGGCATTTGCAAATGCTTGTGTAGAACAAGCTTTCATAATGATCTCAACTGTATTCTTCAGTAACGTGCAACATCAATTGATATACCTTATCCTAAATATAAAATGTTATTTTTGTTTAGGTATATAATACTAAGGAATAAACAGCAACACTAAAATCCTTGACTACGTAATGTGAGTTATGTTTTTTATATTATATATAGCCAAGCTCCTTATTGACATTATGTTTATTATATGAGTGTCGCTGGTTTCATGTCACGATGTTAATATTAATGCCCGTACTTACATCAGAAGTGTACCAAGGCGAGCGGCCAGTAACGGTCGGGTTAGTTTTATGTGCACTATTTTGTTACTAATGTTTCTTGATTTAAAATTATTACACGATTAGGTTTTGTACGAATCCGGCTCATTGTATTAAAAAAAACTAAACGATGAAAGAATACGTGTACAATTTTCAAATTTAATTCTCTCATAATATGAAATTCAAACCAACTTCCTTCTGTCTATCAAATAGTTCTATGCTACGGTTTAATACAGGCATGTATGATAAAATATATAAAAACACAAATAGAATTACTGGACACTAAGTTTAATTTAAACGAAATCAACTTCTTCAAAGACGCAAATGTAATATGTCTTCAGTCTTTCATGGGCATTCATTCGTAGTGCACGCCTGTTGCTTAGAATTGCATAGATCGTCAACCTTTATAGTAACAGTTCGCTTTTGGTTTATTAATTCCAAGTTCGGAAATAAAAAAAAAAAAAAAATGAAGTCGTGTGCAATATGTAACGCCAAATTCATCGATGGGGTTCAGTGTGGATCGTGTAAGAAGGTTCTTGACTTTGGATGCGCAAGTATCTCTGAAACCGGGTGGCGTAAGCTAGGAGCGGATAGAAGAGCCCAGTGGAGATGTGCCTCGTGTAAACTGTCCTCTCCCGCTACCTGTGCACCGGCACAGACTGAGGCCCCTGATGCAGCTGCCTCTTTAGAGACCATTCTTCGCGAAATTAGGGATATGAAGCGTCAGCTCTCTAGTTTACCAGCTCTGGTCGATGACATAAGACTGATCAAAGATGAATTGTCGGAGCTAAAGATATCCTGCGATTTCTCCCACATGAAAGTGGAGGAAT